AGTCCAAAAGGTTTTGGGGGGGTAGTGGATAGCAGAAGAAAGATGATATGTATGTGTGTATGAGAAAACCATTAGAAGATTCTTTATAGTAAACAACTGTTTCTGTAGCTTTAAGATACTGGGTTTAAAGCTTTGTTCCTAATTGAAGAAGTTAAATTGGTAGTTTCTGCAGTTGTGTGCATGGAAAATAAAAGTCACAGGCTGAACCAGGCATGGTGGCACATGCCTGCTGTCCTAGTGGCTCAGGAGGCTGAGGCAGGAGGATGTGAGTTCAAAGCCAGCCTCAGCAACTTAGTGAGGCCCTAAGCAACTCAACGAGACCCTGTCTCTAAAAAAAAAAAAAAAAAAAAAAAAAAGAGGGCTGGGGATGTGGCTCAGTTGTTGAGTGTTCCTGGGTTCCAATTGCCATTACCAAAGGGGGGAAAAAAAGGCTGTTCTGACAATTTTGAATTTTAGATAAGAGTAAAAATATCTTTTTTTTTTTTTTAATTTTTAGATCTCCTGAGAAAAGGGATTTATTAAATTATTTCTTTTTACAGATATGATTATGGAACTTGCAGTACATGCTCAATTTATTACAACTACTTTTAGGCCTGAACTGCTTGAGTCAGCTGACAAATTCTATGGTGTGAAGTTCAGAAACAAGGTAAATTTTTTTGTTGTTGTTTGTTAATAAGCATTGAATTTGTTGAATTCTGATTTTATGTTAAATTGTGAAAGAAGACAAATAATTACTAATCTGTCTCTGTAAATACATTTTTCCCAAATATCTATGAAGTTTAGCAGATATTTTGTAGCATTTATTGTTTGAATTTTCTTTATTTTCATTGATATCAAAAGACAATATCTTCCTGTCAGGTCTACTCAATGCTTCTTGAAAGCATAGTCTTTAACAATTAGTTCTATTTGGCTGTCCCACTCATACCTTTTCCTGGTTGTCTTCCAGTCTTAAGATTCTTTGATGAAATAGTAAATAATTTAAACTGAACAAAAGGAAGTTCAGGATGATAGGCATAATTACTAATCTATATCTTCAGAGCATTAAATGTATAATATTTTTAAACCCACCTATTGAATAATCACTATTATAAATAAAGATTTAACAATGCTTTAGAATCATTTGACACGATACGTACAATTTACAGGGACTAGGCTGTGTATTGTAAACATTACCTTAAACAGGGCAAACACAGATAATAATTGTTTAAGATGTAATGTTTTCAACATTGTTCTGCAGGTTAGTCATATTGATGTGATCACAGCAGAGATGGCCAAGGACTTTGTAGAAGATGATACTACACATGGTTAATTGAAAAATATTGCCCACAGATTTGGAAGATGTATATAATAACATGGTTCTCATACACAGGAACTGTAAATTTAAGCTAAATATTGGTCTTTATTGTTGTCAGACTTAGAACACACATAGTCCTTTTTTATTCTGTCTTTGTATTTTATAAGATATTCTGTAATGTTACATTTCTACTAATAGTTAAACAATTTTGTTTCTCACACAGCTTTTTGTAAAGTGCCCTGCTTCTCCTATTTTAAATCTTTTGAAACATTCTAAATATTCTTTTCTAATTGTCAGTTATACTGCATCTTTTTTTATAGCCTCAATTAAATGATTGGCTTTATGACTTTGTGTTTTATGTGGCTTTTTATTTGTCATTTTACTGATTAGAAACCAGTTTTTCTTGGCTGAGTTTGGTGGTACACACCTGTAATCCCAGTTCCTCAGGAGGCTGAGGCAGGTGGGTTACAACCTGGTGAGACCCTGTCTCACAAAATAAAAAGGGCTGAGGATGTATCTTAATAGTAGAGCACCCCTGGGTTCAATCCCCTGTAGCACACACACACAACAGTAATAAAAATAATTTAAACGTGTACTTTTTATTTTGCCTAAGAAAGTGTCACTTTTATTTAAAAGGTGTACTTCCATATTTTTTTTTTTTAATTTCATCAGTGAGTCTCATTGTGTACTTGATGGGGAACTTTTAAAAATATAACACTATTGGATGTTGAATCAAAATCTTAAATGGTTGGGATTCTAGTTATTGCTATTTCTAAAGTTCCTCATAGTGATTTTGACCTTCAGTGATGATTAGAGCCCCCTGCTTCAACTTGGTATAATGAGTTCTTTAAAAATTATTATTTTTTAGATGGCAGTGTATTTAAGTGTGAGAACACTAGTGCCAAAAAAAAAATGAGCCTTATAATTTCCTTGTTTTTCTGGCTAAGTAAATAGTTTTAGAAGGTTTTATTACTGAAATTGCCCCCCTGGGGGTGGTCTTTAGGGATTTTTATCTTATTAAATGACTTTCTTGAGATATAATTCATTCACCATAAGATTCACCCATGTGATCTATGTGTAGTTCAGTATTTTTAGTATAGTCACAGAATTGTGCAGCCATTTCTGAAATTTAATTTTAGAACATTTTTACTCCAAAATAAAACCCTGAGCTAGGCACTGTGGCACACAACTGTAATCTCAGCAACTCAGGAGGCCAAGTCAGGAGGATCACAAGTTCGAAGCTAGCCTAGCAACTTTAGTGAGGCTCTGTCTCAAAAACGATTGGGGGGATGTTGCTCAGTGGTTAAACACCTCAGATTCAACCCCCAGTGCCTAAAACAACAACAGCAACAAAAGGAATCCCTGTGCCTGTTACCAGTCAACTCCCTCCTTTTAGCTCCTGGCAACCAAATTGACTTTGTTTTGTACTATAGATTTGCCTGTTTTGGTCATTTCATGTAAATGGAAGCATATGATATGTGTTCGTTTGTGACTGGTTTCTTTTACTTTGCAGAGTGTTTTCAACGTTATCCATGTTGTAGTGTGTGTGAATTTTTGTTGCTGAATAATGTTATATGAATGTGTACCATGGTTTTTTTTTTTTTTTTTAATTCATTTATCAGTTGGACACTTGGATTGTTTCTCTCTTTTTGCTATTATAAATAATGCTACAGTGAATATTGGGAACAAATTATCATGTGGGCATGTTTTCACATCTAGGAATGGAATTATTGGTTCATATGGTAACATTTTGAGGAATTGTCAAAACTTTTCCCTTTTATATTCATTCATATAATAAATTCATGAGAGGATTTCCCCACATCCCCACCAAACTTCCTTTTATATATGTTTTTTATCATAGCCATTTTTGTGAGTGTGGAGTGGTATCTAGTGCCTTTAACTTATATTTTCCTGATGACAATGATGTTAAGTATCTTCATGTGTTTGTCATTTGTATATCTTCTTTGTTAAAATATCTACTCATATGTTTTGCCCATTTCTTAAATTGTTTTTTGTATTCTTATAGAATTTTTAGTTCTTTGTATATTCTGGATACAAGCCCCTTATCATCAGGTATCTAAATTTTTGTCCCAGCCTATGACTTCTTTTTTTTAAATTCTTACAATGGTGCCTTTTGAAGCACATTAAAAAAAACAAAAACAAAAAAAAAAAAAAACCTCATTTTAACTTAATCATGTTTGTAAAGGCCCTATCTCCAATTATAGTCACATTTAGAGGTATTGGGGGTTAGGCCTTAAACATGTGAATTTGGTGAAGGGACACACAATTCAGTCCCTAATAACTGCTATCGTATGTTTATCACCCCGTATTGCTCTCAACTAACTCTAGATTTTATTCAGATTTCACTAACATTTTTAGTAATGCCCTTTTTCTCTTCTAGGATTCGCAAAGGCGAATTACATTATATTTGCCATGTATCCTCTGGTCTGTGACAGTTTATCATTGTGTCTTTGTTTTTTATTCCTTGACAATTTTGAGAAGTATTTTTCAGATATTTGTAGAATGTTCCTCAATTTGGGTTTGTCTCATAGTTTCTTAGGATTAAATAATACCATAGAAATTAAGTATCCTCATCATTTCATATCAACAGTACATATTATTAACGTGCTTTATCACTGATGATGTTATCTTGATCCACCTCCTCAATATTATGTTTGCTAAATTTTGCCATTTTTGCACTTTTCCTCCCTTTCCCTGTTCTGTTCTTTGAAAGTATATCACTAAGTGCAGTTTACACGGAGGGTATCCTGTGACTTTGGAAAGTGCTTTTATTAGTTGTAGTAGCTTTTTTGATAGTCTGAAATTTTCAGACAGTCTTGTCATATGCAGAGTTTTATTTCTTCTTTTCCAACATATTTTCCTTTTCTTATTGACCCCACCCAACTTCACCCTTGCCAAGAGTTTATAATTTATAGGAGAGTTTGTTAGGACCTACCCATACATTAGTAAAAGCTAGAAATACCTAAAAGAGGCACATTAAAAATAAAATACTATTAAGACTTCAGATCGAATTATAAGTGTGCATTCATTTTGTATTTTCATTTTGATAAGCTTATTTAAATATTTAGTGTATTATTATGCTCTGTAACTTTGCTATAATATAACCGATCTTCTAAAAAAGAAAATTTGGTATATAGGTTGAGCATCTGTTATCAACAAATCCAAAATGCTCCAAAATTTGATACCTTGTTGAGTATCCAAAAAGATTGCAGATTTTTGAGACTTTTGGATTTTCAGATAGGGGTGCTCAGTAAGGTAGATCTATACAAATATTCCAAAATTCAAAAACTATCTGCAACAGTTCCTATCCTAAGCATTGCAGATAAGGGATACTCAGTCTGCATATGTTCTGAGATACCATTAAAAAGGTTATATAACTATAATATCTTTCTAATATTCCTAATGTTTCTGATGCATCTACCCAGGAGATTTATCAAGAGTTACTAAATAACTATGTAGCTTGAAATGGTGTATGGTATATGACCTATTGCTTAGCTATAATCCTAACCCTCCAATAATACAGAAATTGAGCCTAAAATTGACCAAACCTTTTACACATAAAACTTTGGAGATTTGTGACTATTTTCTCAAGATAGACTCCCAGCAGTCAGTATGTTGTTGTTGTTGTTATTTTTAAATATTTTTTAGTTGTAGATAGACACACTATTTTTATTTGTTTATTTTTATGTGGTGCTGGGGATCGAACCCAGGGTCTCATGCTTGCAAGGCAAGCACTCTACCACTGAGCTACAACCCCAGCCCAGCAATCGGTATGGTGTATGGTATTTATATCTTTTTAAAAATGTAAAACTAGATTATGGTATAAGTGTGTTAGGGTTTCTCTATTTAAAGTAATTTTCTTAGGAGATTATAAAAATAATGGTCTTACTATGAATAGTATCAATCATAATATAAAAGTGGAAGCTGGTTGGGCGTGGTGGTGCATGCTGATAATCCCAGTGGCTCAGGAGGCTGAGGCAGGAGGATTGCAAGTTCAAAGTCAGCCTCAGAAAAAGAGAGGTGCTAAGCACTCCTGCCTCTAAATAAAATACAAAATAGGGCTAGGATCTGGCTCAGTGGTCAAGTGCCCTGGAGTTCAATTCCTGGTACCCACCCCCCCAAAAAAATGTGGAAGCTGACTTCTTGGGGGGTACTAAAGATTGAACCCAGGGGCACTCAGCCACCAAGCTACATCCCCAGCCCTTTTTCATTTTGAGACAGGGCCTCCCTAAATTGCTGAAGCTTATTTTGAATTTGTGATCCTCCTGCTTTAGTCTTCCAAGTCATTGGGGTTACAGGTATGTGCCACCATGCCCAGGTCTTTCCTTTTTGAAGTATTAATAACAAACCTGTTTTTGAAAATATTTAATTCTTAAGAGGAGTTTTTCTACTAATAACTAAAGGTAGAGAATTAGCTCTTTCACTTACCTCAAAGGAAGACTCCCAGTGTTCAGGAGGAGAAAAATAGTAAGATTTCACTTTCCCCCAGAAAATGATTTTCTCAGGGCCTAACATGGAGATGTTGGGGTGCCTGCCACAGAGATGAAGTGTTTCAACAATTTACTTTGGTAGAAATGATGTTCTTTATCTTTTACTCCGTCATATATCTTTGTCCTAGAACACTAATAAATAATCCAGGTTTGTACGTTTATTCTGAGTCTGATATGTTAAGCTTTGAAAATGTAATTGAAACCAGTTGCACATTAATGCAGTTAAAAATTATAACAGCAGATTGTTAACTTACTGCCTGTACATTAGGAGGATCTTCCTTGAAGGTTTTTTTTTTTTTTTTTTTTTTTTAATTTTTACTTTAAAATGATAATGTAAGAGCTGGGTACAGTGGTACATGGCTGTAATCCCAGCAGCTTGGGAGGCTGAGGCAGAAGGATTGTGAGTTCAAAGTCAGTCTCAGCAACTCAGTGAGACCCTGTCTGTAAATACTATACAAAGAAGGGCTGAGGATATGGCTCAATGGTTGAGTTCAATTCTTGGTACCAATAAACAAACAAACAAACAAATAAATAAGATAAGTAGGTAGAAGTTACCCTGTTTTGTGTGAGGATTAAGCAATAGGGATGTTTTTACTCCTTTGTTTTCATACTTCTTTTGAGGAAAAACAGGTAGTTACTTTCTTCTGTGAAAAGTAATACAAAAATCTATTTCAGTACTCTATTGCTCAGAAGTGTCAGAATTGTTTATGGTCTTTATTTTGATCACATTAAATAATTCTTAAAGGGGGTTGATTGTGAGTTAACATTTCTAGAAGGAAATTAATTTTGACAAGAGCTCAGATTTTTGCAAAGCATGTCCTCTTAAATATGGCTTTCTTGTTTACACTTTGTCCAAGCTAAAAATATCAAGACCTTGCAGTTAAGATATATTTAGACCTAGCGATAACGATTTTTTTAGTTTAATACTTTTAATTTTACAGATGAGGAAATTTGAAGCCCAGATTAGACGAGTAACCGAGTGAATAAGTGAGCACACTCAGACAGAGCCAGAACCAATCCTGACTTTCCTGCTTCACTAGAGCAGACTTTTTAATACATTAGCTCTTTATTTCTCTCATGTTGACTATGAAAATGGGGGTGATGTATCATATTTGTAATTAATTGATCCTACATATTACACAGAAACACATTTTAAGGGCACAAGGCATTACCGTCCTTAGTTTTCTTTGCCTGTTCTCCTCTTGCTCTCCTATTTTCTTTAAACCTCACCTATTTAGGTACACTGTGGTCACTTGCTCCATGTCCTAGGGGGACTGGGTTACTGCTGGCTGCCAGTCTCCTTCATGGAAGATGCCAATGTTGCTCCATCAATCTGCCATCATGTGGCACTCAGTCTCCCCTTCTTAGAGACAGAGAGTCTCCTGGGTGTAAGAGCCCTTGTGGCAGCCAGTAATTGCATAGGGCTATGAGGCAGCATGGATATTAGGTTTGCAAAGAGAGCATGGATATATTTACTCTCTCAAGTCATCACATGGGTTGATATCAATCAGTATATTGCAAAGAGACAGCATCTGAATGGTAGCTTTTATGGATTCTTATGTAGTTCAGATCAGTGCCTGGCAAATTGTCAAACACATCAAAAGGTGTGGTAATAGCAAGCCCTGCTTTGCCTCATAGATTCAACCATTAAAAATAATGGTCATAAAGACTGAAAACAAGGAAGTGTACATATAAGGTGTGAAGAAAACAAAACCACAATAGAAAAATTGAACTTGAAGGACATGGGTTTAAGGCCCAATCATTTGGAACTAAGGTTATAGAGGAAGTTAACATGTAATGTAGTAACAGTTCATGCCACTTCTAAGACCTTTGCTCGGAGAGATTTTCAGACACAGGAGTCTCATGCCACCTCAGGATTAGAAACCATGACTGCAAAGATTGGTAAGATTGAGGCTTTTTTCAACCTTGTGTATGATGCTTTTTCTCCCAGTGTTGTAAATCCCCTACTATTTCTTTTTTTCAGAACCACTAGAGGGGGCCCTTGAATCATGCCAGCTCCCCAATTTTTCATTCTAGTTTTTCAAATTCTGTAGCGTTCCAGGAGCAGTGAGAAGGTCAAGGTGTGATATTCTTGAGATTTCTCTGTTGCAACAGTTTATAAACTCAGTGTTAACCGCTTGCAGCTCAGTCTTAAATTGGACACTTCTGGCCAAAGATCCCTAGTGCTTTGCAACAGTTTGTACTACCATACGGAAAGCTACACAATGGCTGTTCAGTGGGATCTTGTTAACACAGTGACAACCCTTTCTTGCAGCAACCCTACTTGTTTGACCCCAGAGCAGTATTTTCTGCCAGTGCCTTCTTAATCCTTGCTTAAACCCAGGAGAATTTGTTCTAGTTTTTCTTATCTACCATTTCTGTCTGTAACCTGGCGTTTCTTAAAATGGCTTTACCTCTTTAGCTGATTTTCAGTTTATTATTTCTAGGTCCTCTGCCCAATGGAACTCTTGAATCTGAATTGGGGTCTCCTGTGTTTTCTCAGAGTGGTGGGAATTCTTGATTTTTTTTTTTTTTAATCAAAAATCTTATCAGAATCCCTGTAGCCTTGGAGAAAAGCACTCATCCTCTTTAGGATTGTTCCAGAAGTACAGTTTCTGTGCTGTTTGAGAATAAAGGGCTCATCCCCACTGTGAGGAGGTGTGTAGGAGCATGTGTGTATGTCCATGCCTCATAACCCTGCCTCAGCTGTGTTCACACATCTGCAAATACTGCCTTTGAGCATGGCTTTGTGATGGGTGGGAATGTAAGGTACAAATACATAAGTTACATGATGTTTCAGTTCTGACAATGTCTTTGATCTCAATTGTGAGGTTAATGCTTAGAGGAACCCCCATAAAGAGAAATTACTAAAGCTTGGTGCCAAAGAGGACTTTCCAGTGACTTTCCCTTTGTTTTTTCCATCTATCCTCTGCCCTTGGCTAGATAGAAGAAAAAGACATTTATTTGATTGCAAGTGATTTCTTGATCCCATGGGGCAAAAGTATGAGGATTAGTCTTTGCTGTGTGTTGAAATATCTTGTGTGAACGACTTAATCACAACCTACAAGGTACCAGATAGGTCCTTTAATCATCTCACTTAAAGGCAGCAACTTTGAAGTGGTGGTAGTAACCCCAGGACCCTTAAAAGGAAACTGTTTACTTGAAGATGAGGTAATTTGCCTAAAAATTCCTGCTGGAAAGTGGTGGGACTGATAGCAGACCCCTGGCTTATTCTGCTCCAGACTCCCCAGGTGCCATTTTCAATTCAAAATGAAGTTAGTGCCAACACTTACAGATGGAGTGGCCATAAGGACATGTGTAGGATGCCTCTGATCTAGTTGTTTTCTAAGCTGTTCATGAATCTGGGGGTAAGTGTCGGGTTTTTATCTTTCCTGCTGTTAACTGCCCTCATCTTGAAGGAGGCCATGCCACGGAAGTAGAGGCTTTAGCAAGATGGTGGGGTGTGGAAACTCTTTCAGGTGGTACCTGAGAAGGAGTCCCTTCTTGCTCTGCAGGGCTCTTGTGCATCTTTGCTAGTAAGTTGCTGACCAAGTACCATTAATTCTGCTGTTGCCTAGTAGTTAACTTTTAACTCTATTCACCTCTCCTAGCCTGATCTCTTTCTCCAGCCTAAAAGGAGACACACTGCCACGATCCTGTGCCCTTCCCTGAGCCTGCCATAGAAAGCTCAGCTTTCCTTGAGGAGCCTGTGCCCAGTTCTACTCCATCTTGCAGCTCTGAAGAACATAACTGGGATCCTGCCCCGCTCTCCTTTTTCTCCTTCAGTATTCAAATCCATTTAACTGTGCCTTACTTTGTAGTTAGATATGTAAAGGATTTTAGGAAGAAACTTGGGGCATTTGAGGTAGGTAGGCATTGACCAAGTAGGTCTGGGAGCTGACAGAATCTAGAGTAATTCTAGGTTGCCAGGCTGTTAGACACATGGGTGCAGGGGCAGGATGAAAACTTGATTAGTACTACAAGGCTGAACCCTGAGATTGCAGTAAGCATGCCCCATTTTGGCGTCCTCTGGAATCTACTCTTATTCCAACAGAGTCCAAAGAAAGAGCAGTGGCAGACTCTCATCTAATCAAACTTATGCTTTTACCCCACAGTTCTCTCCCTTTTACTTTAAAAACAAAACCAAACCCTTCTCATTATAGAGTAAAATGTTCCTTTAAAACCTTCTACCTTGTAAGTTCTATGTGTGTCAAGACCATATTTGTCTATTTTTTGGTTCGTTGTTTTTGTCATTTTTGTTCAGTGAG